ATATATATATATATATAAGAGTATGTATCGAATGATATTCATTTTATTCAAATTTAAAGAAAACAAATAGTAGACACATATGTTTGATTTATGAAAATGACAAAAAGAGAATGCATAACTAAAATAACATTTTTTTTAAACTAGGTTATCCTTTAGTCAAATAGTGGAGGATTATCTTTGGACACAAAAGTTTATTATTTTTATTATTTTTATTTTTTAATTCATAATTTTATTCATTTTATTTTATAATGAAGATATTTAGTTTTTTTAATTTAAAAATATAAAATTTTGATCTTCTATCAAATTGGCATTTAATCATTATTATGTTTTAATGTTTATTCATGCATAAGTTATGTAACATTTAATAACATGATAAAATTAAAGATAAAATAAAACAAAAAATGAATCATGTAAATAAGATTTATTAATAAAAAATAAATATCAATCATTCATTAAAATAGATACAAACAAAAATTGTTTGTATGTTATTTTTTAATTTGTATCTATATATATGTCATGTTACTAAATACTATATCACTTAAGTGATGATAAATTATCAAATAATATCAAATTTAATGATCAATGAATATTAAATTGAAAGTAACACCAAGATTTCATATTTTTAAAAATTAATGGATTAATATCTCTATTTTAAATTAAAAAGATCAAAATTATAAATTTATTAAAAATAGAGAGATCAAAAGTACAATTTAGTCAATCTATTTAAAGAACTAATCTCACTCAACATTTTTTTAACATAGAATATTAAACTCCTAAATGACTACATATTTAAAGAATAAAGTTATTTGTCAATTATTTCACATCATACTAATAACATATATACTCTTTGCTTTTCTAAACCAAAAAAAATTAAATGTTCTTTATTAATGAATGAAGTGTAACAACTAACTTTTAAACACAAGTCACACACATATATATACATAAGGAGAGTTCAAACGACACCGGTCTAATTTTTGTTAAGTGTTACACTGTTTAATAATTTTATATTAAATGTGAATTTTGAAAATCTAACCGTTATAGATTTAAAGTTCATATCTCTTAGATCATATATATCAAATTTTGTTAAAATTAAACAACAACTTGAAGGTAATCAAAGTGTTCATATTTTAGTATATTTTGAAATGTATATATTACGTCAATTTTGTTTTATGAGAATGAAGTATCAAATCATCTTAAATTAATATAAAATTTGATATATATGATCTAAGAGATATGAACTTTCAATTTAACGGTTGAATTTTCAAAATTCACATTTAATATAAAGTTATTGAGCGATGTAATACTTAGTAAAAGTTATCCCGGTGTTGTTTGAACTCTCATATATATATATATATATATATATATATATATAT